CACGCACATATATATATAGAGAGAGATTTATTGAATAATTTCTATATGTAGACATGTTAGATTATTTAGAGATGTATATGGCATATGCTGGCGAGCGACAATGATGATTGTAAAGGTGAAGGTCAGTATGTCACGGCTTCTGGTTATTTACAACGTGTACGTATCACATCATGCAACACACGCACTCGCACGTACGTATATATATATTTATTTATTAATTGATTGATGCATTGATTTATTTATTCATTAATTGAGTTATTTATGTAGACATGTTAGATTATTTAGAGATATATATGGCATATATTGAAGGACGGCAATGATGATGCGGTGTCTGATTATTTATAGTGCTCGCTCGCACGCACGCACGCACAGACACGCACAAACACACACGCATACACACGCACGCACGCACGCACACACACACACACACACACACACACACACACACACACGCACACGTACACCTGGTGAACATACCACGCCGTATCACCGCCACCTTGACAACCACCAGATTCGAGTGATCGAAAGTAGGAATCGCGGCTTACCTAAAAATATGATATTAATACGGATATCGTTAACATAAATAAAAAAATAATTGACATAACATGAAAAAACATTTAAATAACATTTTAATATACAATACGTTGATAAATTTGGCTACAAATATTACACTATAAATGCGAAAATATTGAGCATAACATATCGAAGTAAATAATTCCAGTACACTTATGGAAAAATCTTGGTACATTTAGGCTACTATTGACAGGATGCGAATGCAAAAATGAGCAAAAAAATTATAACAATATTATTATAGTGCAGCTATGACAGTGTTTGGGACAATTAGAATTAATGCAACATAATATCAATGCTAAAATAATTAAAGCCGCAATATGCGCATCCAAACGCTAATTTCTCCAGTAGGCCCTACTAGACTAGCAAATACTTCGTTTCATGCATAATCACACTACCTTATGACAAAATAAACTCTAGTTCCTCCCATTTCACTGAGCGTTTGCCCACAAGAAAGAGGTGCGAAATCTGGAAATCTGGCGCCAACGCCGAATTGTTTGCCAAACAATTGAGCCCCGAATCGGTTAGGTGACGTCACATGTTGCTACGGGTTGCACCCGCTGTACGGTTGCTTTGCAGAGCAACGCGAACGTGTCAACAACATATCGGAGAATTTGAACAACATTGGAGGTATTTTCAAATTCCTTTTATAAGACAAAGCGCAGTGAAATAGGAGGAACTAGATAAGATGAATTGTTGGTAACATAGAGATCAGTATGGTGGCCGAGGGTTGCACTACAATTTTACCTCTGAAATAAATAAAAGCAAATAAACAAAAATATGAAAATCGAAATCAAAATCAAAATCGTTTTCAAACTCACTAGTAAAATCAGTTTACTAGTGAAATCAGTTTACGCGTTGGCCGAGGGCTGCCACTAAAGTGAAATCAGTTTACGCGTTGGCCGAGGGCTGCCACTACCATGATTAGCAGAGTAATACCGGTCGTGTATCCGTGTGTACCCGCGGGTACACGCACGTACACGCACGTACACGCGGGTACACGCACGTACACGCGGGTACACACAGATACACGCGCATGTACACGGATACACGACCGGTATTACCAGGTATTACTAATAGCAAGCATTGTGGGATAGCCTGGATCGCAATGAATCATGGTAGTACTTTTCATGTAGCCCTCGGCCACCATAGATCAGTCAGCGTAACTAGTATAATATTATTTCTATGGCTTACACACACCGCAAACGTTTACAAAGTATCCTGCCACCTACCGGCCCAAATAATAATCCAGATGAGACGAGATACCAGAGAAGTGTTGCCGAAAGAAGCATACCCAATACTTCATCATACACTAACCGCATACTTCAGCACCCGCGAAATGGTCCGTCAAGGCAGACGTCAAGTACCACACAAATATCGTCAAGGCAGACGTCAAGTACCACACAAATATCGTCAAGGCAGACGTCAAGTACCACACAAATATCGTCAATGTTGTATAGAGTTACAGCTAGCTGCAAACAAAACATGAATGACAACGAATGAACACCATTTCTCAGCTTTGTGCAATATGAACAGAAGGCTATAATGAAATGTTACATATATACCACTGACAATAACGTTATGATGCTGCTCATGCTGTGTGCAGATAGGCTAGTTCCCATTTCAGTTTGTCTTTCCAGTTGGCTTTCTAGACTGGTACGCGTTCGCCACCTTCCCTCCGGCAAGTATCTTTCGCTACACTGAAGTTAGTTAGTGTAGCGTGTGGAACTGTCGACTGGGTACGAGTCTAGGTTATAGTCGCCTGAGCCGTCTGCAGGAAAAGTGCTAGGGAAGTGCTATGCATATAGCCTCGTTGCGCCATCTATCGCACGCCATATGTACTACACTGATGGGGGGGCCTCAACTAGTCGCTGGCACAAAAAAGTTCAACTCCGTTTTTTACAGCAAACCAAGCGCGCCGAGTAGCGAACCAAGAATTACGACAATTTCTAGGAAATCTCTAGCCACGTGGGTAGTCAAACCCATCGTGTAATCGCAAGAACTGCTTAATTCAGGGATTGCCCCACAGTTACGCTATATAGTAAACCCGTTGAAATTGCTATTCAATGAGTGCAGCGTTGTTGTTAGTGTGCCGCTACGCAGCGTTTTTCGCGCAGGCTGCCGATCGTCTCGTAATCTATCACCTATCTAGAGATACCTATATTATTTCTATAAATCTATCACAAATTATTTTTAATGGTTTTTCCTAGGCGTAGAGAAAGATGTAGACGTAGAGTAAGAATAGTAGCATATAGTCTACAAAGAAATTATGGTGTCGGAAGAAGTGAAGTGACGAGAGTCGAGTTTAGTGCATGTCTTAGATAGGGTGATGAGAGAAGGACGAGTGTCTGGGAAGAAGGTTGCGGGGTGGAGAAACAGAGAAGGGGTTTAAAAGAGGAGAGGGATAGGTTTAACATTCTTTATTATAATTATATAGTTTCGGTTTTGAAATACATGCAACCAATTTCCTCCCACTGCAGCATGTTCAGGAACTCTTGTTCACAAGTTGAACCGTGTGCAAAGCTTGGTATGTCACTTTGTTTAAATCTCACAAATATTGCAAAGAACTAGTATTACGTCAGGCCTAATAATCAATCTAACGTTATTAGCAGCAATTTTAATTCAATGATAACAAAAATAACAAAAGACTGTTTTAAAATGAACCTACATTGTGTTTATTGTTTTATCATTCAATAAAAATAATAATAATAATAATAATATTAACTCATCGTAGTGGTGTTCATACAGGTACAAAAACTACAAATAAGAATGAGATTCTATAAGGCACGATAACAAGGACCAAGCACAGTTGAACACGCTGTGGTGCAACTCGTTTCTCGCCGCATCTTCTTGCAGAGACGCAGCGAGCGCCATCTAATGGCAGGCAATCCATTCTCACTGAGGCCGTTACGCATTAACATGATCATCAATGTATCTGTCGTCTGCCATGATACCACGGAGCTCACAACCACCACAAACACGCATTTACACATACAAATTTTGCATCTGTTTCATTGCTATGAGTAACACTGTTAAACTCATAATATATGAATGAAAAAATGACATCGTGATAAGCTTGTGAGGATGATGCATATGCAGGCTGGATGAGAACTCGTTCAAAACACTAATCTCAACACTAAAGGTTTCCTTCAAAAACGAAGGAAAACATTCAAAAATTGTCACTTATAAAATAGTGTCCAAATTAAATTATCAACACAGCAACTCAAAATCAGTCGATTATTTTCACGGTATATGACAGTCACAAAAGAACAGTAATAGAAAGGTTACAAAAAAAGGGTCTAAAAGCTGCAGCAACCCAACCGCTTTCCAGACCTCAACGCATAATTGCAGAACACAACATAGCATAGAACTGTGGCGAGAACAGTTGTAATAACAAAACTGAGGATACTATAGAGCAGAATTCAACATCGTACATCATTTGGCTTCCACTGACACTCCTTTTTACTTCACCCGCACAATCATATCAATTAGGCAAGACTATTCAGATGCAGATTATAACTCGGACGTAACATTTTGACCAAATGTACAAATTTCGATGTACACAACAAGGCACATAAAAAATACTGCAATTTCCCCAACATATTACATGATGCATTAATTAATTACGCGTGTTTGTTACATTATTATAATGGTCCGTTTTAAAGACTTTATACAACACTCAAACTTATTTGAAGCCAGCTTCTGCATAAGCATCTGAGATGAAATTGACTAATATCCTACAAAATATAAAATACTAGAGCCACCTAGTCTTCGAAGCTGTTCCGAGCAAAAATTACAGCATAGCCGGGGTTAATTTAGGAAGTGTTAAATAGATGAGCTAGAATTGCTATCAACACATGTACAATATGCATACGGTATTTCTAAAAACGTTTTTATGCATATTAAACCAGTAAAATCTATAAAAACATACAACTTGCCGATTTACATGTAGCAAAAATAACAAGAAGCATGGGGCAACAGAAAACACCATATACGATTGCATACGGTCTTTGGTAGCAGCTAGATGGCAGCACTGACTTAAATGATGAATATTAACTGTCTATTTGCGGTACACGGTCTATTTGCATGTGAAGTAATAATATTAGTATCAGCCGAATAGGTTTTTGCGATTGAAATAACAATTATTATCATCAAAATGCAACAACACTACATTATTGAGCTACACCATATTAGGCAACACATATTTACACAAATGTACAATGCAGCCTAACATAACAAACACAGATATCTGCATTTCACAGAATGCAAGTAACTAACACGTAACAATTGGGTCCAAAGTTGAACAACTAAACAAAAACCTATTCCGACAGAACATACAGCATTCGCCAGCACCAAATCTCAACAGTGTTCTCGCTAAGGGACACCGGAGAGGTGGGAGGTGGGTGCCAAGTAAAGGCGCCATGTAAGCAGCTACCGTTTACAGCGCAGACGGAGAGACGCAATCGATTTCAACCACGAGATTCAAGCTTCGCTTTCTTCAACTCTCACAGTACGCCACTACTGTTAATGCAAGCGATAAAACCAATGACAAGCAAAAAATAAAGCCCCCCCCCCACAACAAGCAGCTTAGCCGAAGTTGCACAACTGCGGGCCGTATTCCAGTGATCGCCCTAGAAGTGCATTCTGCCCGTGGCACGCTGCTGGCACGCTGTTCACACATAGGGGCAGCAGCAGTCGTAGTAGCAGTAGAAGTAGCAACAGCCCTAGTAGCAGCAGCGGCAGCAGCAGCCATAGTAGTAGTAGTAGCAGGTGTATATTATATACTATACGTATATATTATATGTCTTATACACACTCCTGGTAGCGGTACTAGCAGCTGTAGCAGGAGCAGGAGCAGCAGCAGCGCGGACAGCAGTGGGCACACGACGAACGTCGCCCAGCCAACAACTGTTTCAACGTGCGCGCCCACAGAAGAAGCATTAACAAAAAGCCGGACTACGAAAAAACTCACACAAAGCACTATCTGTGTTGTACGAGGACACATCGCAAATGTCTGCACGCCAACGCTCTCTACCTGGTTATCCTCTAATAGGCCTCCCATCGCTTTGTACGAACAAGGTGTATGGGATCTGCACCCCAGAGCTCTCGTTTGTATAGCTGCATAGCTGTAACATTCCCCAGACTACTACCGCTAAAATATGAATATCGTTACGGTAACACCTGCGAAAAACCACCACGAATTGCTCTAATCGCCGTTTTTTTTAGTTAGGGGCTTTTCGCTCACAAACCAAAAGCTGCAAAGAGTGGACGATATGAAGTAAGACAGACCAGTAGTCCAGTAGTTCACGTCTAGCCACCACTGCCACTGCCTGCGAATTTCCCCGACCCCCGCGTCCGCGCGCATGCCCCTGCATCCGATTATTATATATCAACGTAGAGATATGTCAAACCAGCTTTAGCAAGTCTACATGCTGATCAGTACGCTGAAAAGCGTAGCATGCGTAGCTTATGTTGCTCCGACAAGACCACACCTGCACTGCTTATTCAGAATGACAACATGCACAAAACGCTCGAATCGGACGCACAGATATCATAGCGAGAATTCCTACCTATAGTAGAATGCTGACGGTTATCACTATCGCCTGACTTGATTATTAATTTGAAAAAAATGCAACCAATTCCTGCCAATAGCTGAAGTCAAGCATTTACAAAAGTATGGTGAGTGTGTTTCAGCTAGATAGAGCAAAGTGCTCAAGCTAATGCATCCTCTCGTCAGTGCGTTGTATTGCTCATTGTGTACAAGGAACACAATTTTGTCTACATGTTTACTAATTTACAGAATTAACAGGTGGCTTACCGCTGTCTCTCACGCGCAACCAATCAATCCATCTTCCTTAACGATTTTTTTCGCCCTTTTAATTTGCTGCCAACAATAACAGCAGAAACTAATGACAAAATGCAGATTCCAGCAAACGTAGCGAGCACCTAGTATACAGCTTATGACTAGTCACCCGGGACACCCACTGCTCTCTAGAAGCGCCAACTAGTTCTACTCCTACGTTCCAGCCAGACAGTCAATTTGCACCCCAAACATCGTTTTCAAAGCTTTGGTATAAAAAAGAAATATGTCACAGTTTATACCATATAGGGATAATGATTGTCAGAGATAAATCAGTTGTTTGAGCACAACAGGCCATTATCATAGCAGGATGGGTGCTCACAGACAGCTGTGCGCGTTAACGGCTCTGAATATTAAACACCCTGAATGAGAGCCGACAGCTCTTTCATTATACGAGATCTATACTCAAAGATAGCAATATTTTAAACATCACTAAATATTGTCGTGTTTGGCCATGCTAGATGCTCTGGCAATAGTGCCAGAGCGCCTCTAGGTGCCATGTGGACATAAAGCTAGTTGTCATATATTATACTAACAGGTTAGCAGTCATTGCCAGGATAAGATCTTATGTAGGCATAGTGTTGAAATCTCTGCTAGACACTACTAAGGACTACCGAGCATTGGAAATGTCTGGTTTCACTACTTACTTACACAAAAGTTCATTACTTTTTGTATATTCACACATAATATAAAAATTATGCTAGCCATATCACCTACATCAAATTACCTACGAGTGTAATGTACAGCATTAAAAGCAGTATGTGGGTAGAACGTGTTCTAAAACAACATCCATAGCAATTATCTCCCAACATACAAGTAATAACTTAAATTGGTGTCTTTGCAACCAGCTACTTTAACCTCCATTGGTAGTGTCCTTCACACTGTTACTCGCTGATTTCCAACCAGCACTCTGGCATTCATCTCACAAACCTGTGCCATGCTGATTTTAGACGTGCTCAGTTCACAACAGTTAGCCACCATCCCACACTGACACAGTAATCCGTAACCACTGTAGCAGGCAGGACCAAGTGGGAGACGTGCGGCTCTGTAATGCCTGCCAACATGCCAATCGCAGCATCACTGCACACGTCAACTACTATACGTCGTACGTATACGTCTGTGAAAGCCTCGCGCGCCAGCGAATGCTCTTCACAGGGTGCGAGCAGCGTGCCCTGCGGTAGGCGTGCGTCCCTGCACGTGTGCGTGTGTGCGCAGCGCGAGAAGAGGCACGTTTCATAAGGCACTGTCCACCACGCGAGCATGTGAAGCCCCGTCGCGGAGCTTCACAGCCGAAGTGAAACCCAGTCGCAAGCTTCCGCTTACTGAAATCCCGCCGAGGGCTTCAGCTTAGCAAAGCACCGTCGCAGGTTTCAGCTCATGATAGGCAGCTGCTGTCGACCGCCCGGTTCTGCAGCAGCTCCTTCTCTATCTCGTCGAGATCTTGCGGCTGCACGCGGCCGTGCTGCGATCGTAGCGACTTGGCGCTCTTGCTTGATCTGCAAAGATGAAGCCGCTCAGCATATAGGCAATTGCCGGTACCCTGCAAACGCTCTACTGCTACAAAGCTCTTCTATCATAATTAAAATGCGATACGATTGGGCAAAATTGCAGTTACCTTTCACAAATCCACCAAAAAGCTATACCTATGCAACGGTTTCATTGGGATCCAACGCACAGCTGCGTACTTTGGCTTGTACGCCGGGTATTTTACAACGTATTGTCCTGCAGCCCACAGGTGCTTAATAGGTACCCCTTTGGGCATCACCTCATCTCTCCTGATCTTTTTACTCATGGGCCTATTATAATCATATTTATAGTAACAACTTTCCCCATTGATTATATTTACTTCCCTAACTATCCAGCTTTCTATTCTTGCCCCATCCTCACTCGTCTTTTCACCTAACCCCACGTTTACTCACTCACTTTCCCTATTCTCAGTTTGTCTAACTTCACTCCCCTCACCCTAACCTCACTTACTTAAACCTCACCATGCCTTTACTCCCTCACAAAAACACTCACGCCTTGCCCCCTCCCACCTTCACCCAACGTCCACTCCCATAACCTCTAAGAACCCTCTCTCCTCCCCAGCGTGGCCTGGCGGCGCGCGGCGGCGACCGGCGCTCAACCCACCTGTTCGATCGCGACGAGCGGCTGGACTTGGAGCTTCGTATCGACTGCCGCTTCATGAGATTCTGACTGATGGCGCGGTGCAGGTTGCGCAGGTTCGACTGCGCCGCGTTGCTCTTCACCCACGGGTGCGTGAGCGCGTCTACGGCGGCCAGACGCTGCTCCGTCGCCACCGTCAGCAAACGCTCGATGAAGTCCTTCGCCTGCGGCGAGATGTCCCGCCAGTGCTGCAACAGGAAACGTGACGAACAATGTAAGCCAACCGCTCGGGGGGGGGGGGGAGCTGTAACACTTGGCTGCACGGATGAGCAACAATGCTGGGAAAACCTCCTGGCTGGAAAAACACATTGCATGATCGGCATCACACGACGACGAACGCACACAACACATACAACAGTAACAAACAACCAGTGGCATAGTTAGGGGGGGAGCCATGGCCCCCCTGTTGAACCGAAAGGAAAAATAAAAAGAATTGTTCTACTAAAAAGAGAATTGTCGTAGTCAGAATGAAGGCTGTACACATGTACTTCAAAGTGCTTCAAATACCATCTCCTGCGATCTACATTGTCACAATTTTCTGGGGGAGAACCCCCATACCCCCCGCCTGTTTTCACTCTGCCTTGGAATCCCGAACAGTTACATATCTTGGGAGCAGAGAACAACGAATAAAAATGTTGCCTTTTTTGCTAGCGCCCAAAACAAAAATTGCAGAGCTGAGAGGTGGGGAGCGTAGTGTGTGGAGAGGGAGGCGGAGGGACCATTCAAATATTAAGTATATCCACTATTTTGCGCAGTTTGCTGTTTTTGCCCCCCCCCCTGTTAAAAAATCAACGTGGTGACAGACCACATTCAGATGTACAATGAAAATAAAAATGTGACTGCGAATGTGCTGTGAAGATGTAATGGTGAGTTCTGTATAAAGCTAAAGGTGTAAACGGTAACAGTTGGTATGTGATTGTTACCCCTTGGTAAGGGCTTTAGCGAGGTAATGTAGGTATGAATAGGCTGGTAGAATTCCCAACTGCTTCAGGCAGGACATGACACCTTGCAGACTGATATCGGCTCACACAATTTATATAGATGTGTGCGTGCGTGCGTGCGTGCGTGCGTGCGTGCGTGCGTGCGTGCGTGGGTATTAAAGCTTCAGTTCATTCAGCTTCAACATAATGCACCAAAAACAAATAAAAATGCGTGTTTAGTAACGAACCTTGTAAAAACCACTAATGGGTCTGATGGTAGGATGAAGGGCCAAAACATTAAGAAACATAACACATTCTCCTATCAGTAGCTAACTTATTCATACAATAAAATATTAGCTAGTTATACCATGCACCTTTGAAAAGCACTACTATATAATTCCATCACGTACATCCTACATTCTTCTTTATTTTTCCATTAAATTTGATGTTAACCCGCTAGAAGTCACTAACATTTATATATAGTTTTACAAGCCTTCCACATGAGTGGCACTAATGTGCATCCACCATATACCAACATTGCTGATTACATTAACCGTGTCTCACAACACTTGAACCGAAAACAATCGCCTGATTTGTCAATGCTTCATTTACTGTGCCAGAGCACACTATATATAGCGCCAGATATATACTGAAATGGGAATACGCACGCAGACATCATTACACTCTTCTTAGAGTAAACATAATGTAAGCACCCTGCGAAGTAAAACGCGACAGAAGAACAAACAATTCCATTCTAATATGTATAGTGTATAACATACCCTGTGTTACACGTAGTATCTACCTACATGCACGCGCGCACACACACGCACGCACGCACACACACACACACACACACACACACACACACACACACAGATGGAGAGAGCAAGAAATTCACAGGCCACGACACGAACATTCGAAGCAATGCTGATGTGAACACCCCCTCCCCCCGCACGCACCGCACACGCACACACGCACGCACACACCCATCCACCCACACCCCGCTCACAGGTCCCACCGATGCTGCTATTGCTGCCAGGTTACTTATAGCAAGCCCCACTCTTAAGCCCAAGACAGCACCAAAGATATGCCCTTTGTTTCTCCACCCCTTCAGACAGCCTTGACTGACAATTGGAATTAATATCTCCCATTCACAGGATAATGGTTACCACGCACGGGTGACTGGTTTAGAAAATGGATGGGCCGAGTAATAGGATAGCCGCGAGCGCTGTCAACAAAGATGGCTCTGTGTGCTCGTAGCTAAAGACGCTGCACGGAGATTGCAAACAGAAACGGTGCAGACGTGAAACGAGGCTGGAAGAGAGTCTGAATGCGAGCTATACGGTGTGCGCTCTATACCAATTTGTGTACGTTAACGAGTTTTCAACAAAAACAACAATCATAAGTATAACACGGACTTGCACCACGGTGCAGCCGTCGATGATCGATCACACATGTAAAAAAAAAACACAAAGCTACGTTGTTAACCCTTCCTAGAAACACAATGTATATATTTAAGTTAACGGAAACTGCGTAGGTTCGGTTTGTACACAATCGCAGCCCGCGCGTCATTACTATCATATATAATAATAGTACGTCTCACAAAAGATGGGCCATTATCACCACGCCGTATCTACAAATCGCCTGCGAGCGAGAAGGAACGAGAAAAGCGTTATCGCTGCCGAGCGCAAGACGGGTTTCTAGTGTTCACACTCGGAATACTAACGAGGTGAAAACCGCAAGAGTCTGCGCTCTCACCGCAGACCGAGCCGGCGAAACGCAGCACGCAGAGTGCCTCCTCCCCCGCCACCTGCACGCGTACGCCAGCTACTACTAGCTGGTGTCGAACGCTGCCGATGCAAATCGAAAGGAGAGTTTGATGGGTGATCAGTAGGAGAGATAAAACCCTTTCAGGTGGTGTCGGGGAAGAATGTGACTGCGCGAAGATCAAGTCTATCGTACAGCAGGCGTATCTCACGCAGGCAGCAGTAGCAGTAGCAGTAGCAAGCAGTAGCAGCAGCAAGCAGTAGCAGTAGCAGTAGCAAGCAGTAGCAGCAGCAAGCAGTAGCAGTAGCAGTAGCAGTAGCAGTAGCAAGCAGTAGCAAGCGGTAGCAGTAGCAGTAGCAGCAGCAACAGTAGCAGTAGCAGTAGCAGCAGCGCTAGCCCCCACTCCCACGCGCCCACCTAATCTTTCGTTCGTAGCAACAGTGAACGACATGCAGTCAGACTCGGGCCGGCGCACTGTGCGTCGAGCGCCAGTTGAACGAACCACACAGGTGGATTAGCGGCGTGCATTGTGTCGCCCTCACAATCGAGTGGGAATCGAGCACGTCACTGAGCATCCTCGACAGAGGTAGAAACGAGTTTTTGCCTCGGCGCCCGCACTCCGGTCCTAACCTACCCCCACCCTCCCCTGCGCTCGCTCTCCCGATCAATAGAACAGAGTACTGCTGCGCCTTTGCGCGTAGGTACCCGCGCCTCAGGTGAGCTGAGGTAGCCGGGATCGCGCGCGCACGCTGCGCCCGCGTCGTTCTGCGGCGCGCCAGGAAACGTGTAGTCAGTGGCCCAGGGCCACGGCTCGCTAGCGTTGCTGCAACAATGAGCACACTGTGTCGGTATCTAATCAAAAGCCCATGCGATGTACAATGGCGACTAATAAACTATCAATTACACGACAGCGGTTGCTGTTTTCGCCGGTGGGGAAAGCACGGCAAAACGACGCACCCCCGCTCGGCTACGTGTAGTTCATCAGTACTCATTTTTAAGCAGAAATGTGAGCGCTAGCTACACAATGCAGGTCGCCTGTGCACGTACCCCACACCCAGTTTACCTCTAATCACTATTATATAGGGATACTGGTTGTTTGACGAGCATATCCACAGGAGGTGTAGTGAAACCGCTTTTAAGTGGCACGATCCACATGTTTTACTTCAGAACGACATGCTTTATATGCTTCCATAAAAATACCAGCTTTGCGAGCACCTGCAATAATTGGGGAGAAGGTGATAAATTGCAATTCCTAGAGAGCTTCACAATTTTACTTAAGTTACTGTGAACCAATGTCGATAAGTGCACGCGTATCCATGCATATTACATGCGATTTCACGCAGGAGATAAATATTAGATGTGTTACTTACCCTGCTACTGACCACACCTAGGCCGATAACTCACAAGCTTCCCCTATCTCGCGCACAGTAAGCAGCGAGAGAATGCAAGTCAATACTATACAAGAGTAATACAGTGGCGAGCACTATTTAAGGGCTCGGGCACCGAGTAATTAAAACAGTCTGGAGGAATTTCACGATGGCGGGACAGCGAATGGTGCAGTCGCATGCCAACCCGGAATTTGTGTTAGTGTGCTAACCTGATTTATTCCCAAACCGGCCATCGCTGCGACAGCGTATTTGCATCCAATGACACGCTTGCTTGCTGCATTTACTCTGTTGTTTCGTTTCTGCCTTCCACAACGCACTATGCTAACTACTTCTATTCATTAGCATGGAGGATCGAACTACCCAGCAACTCTAATATAAGGGAAACCCTAAGCGAGGATGGTAAGTAGCCCTGCATCTGCCTTGACACTTTCCAGATATTTGTTACATGCCACTTCCTGCAAGCCCTGATGCCAGCTGCTAAATATACACCACCGGCTGATGATAGCGGGCGAAAAATAAACCGAGCTATGCGAGAAATGTTACTCGAACCCACATTACGTGCACCCGCAGTCAGTGGTTCTCCCCGCGTGATGTCATCAACCTCCGCCGGCAAGCACTTTTAATTGAAAATATAAACTCGGGGCACCTGCGCTGCGAGCGAAGAACGCGAAGTCGAAAAGTACTTTGACAAAATTATGCGGTGCAGACGGTTCCGAGGGAGGCGGTTGAGTCTAATTATCACAGAACCTCATATCACCTAATTCAAATTCTCTGTTAGCAAATATGGAAGTGTAGTCGAGAATTTGAATGATTAATTCGGGTGCAGTCAGTTTCCTAACTAAGTTACTATATTACATCAACCTTACACGGTTTATGATATTTGCCTCTGTAAGTGTGTTATTGCCTCTGTAGTGTTTTGACAGTTTCATGCACACCTCTTCCTGAGATTTTAATATTTTGTATTATGCCGCTGTCCATCTTTTTAGGTCCAGAAAGTAGTTAACCTGACATAAAAGTTTCGGCACTTTGTCGATTCGATTTCTGTCTTTAAAATTCACGTTTTATTACAGCTTAGCCTATACCATATAACACTGTCACTTGTTTGCACTTCAG